GCGTGGGGCGAGGCGGTCGGCGCGGCGCTGGGGGTGCTGCGGGCCGACGACGCGGCGCGCTACCGACCGGCGTTTGGGGTGGCGAGCCTAGACCCTGAGATGGCGAAGCAGGAGTTCATAAACGGCGGCCAGCAGGGCCTAGATGACCTCTTAGAGGCCCTGGGGGGCGGCAACGGCACCGCAGGCGACAGCAGCGGCAGCGGCGGCGACAATGGTGCGGCGGGGGACGGCATGCGGGTGCCTCGCGCCGCGGGCGGCGGCGGGGCCGCGTCTGGGTCGAGCAGCGGCAGCCGCGGCGGCGGCGGCGGCGCGGCGGGCGAGGAGGCGATCATAAAGCTGGTGCTGGCGCGGCGGACGGCGTGGCCGCTGGAGCGGCGGATGGGCGGCGTCGCGCTGCTGGAGGCGCTGCAGGAGCGGGACCCGCGCGCGTACCAGCTCTATCTCTCCGTCCCTGGTGAGGAGTGGGTTGCAGCAGTGGCGGCGACGAGGGCGACGAAAAAGCGTGCTGCGTCCGCGTTGTCACTCAGCCCTTGCGGTGATCGCGGCAGCGGGACGCGGCGCTGAGATTGGACCTCACCGTGGGTGCAGCGTGGGCGCTCGTATTTGGACAAGCAGCCCCCAGCAGCGCCAGGCGTAGGAGGCCCCAGCTCGACACTACCCCGGCGCCCCGGCCCCCATCCGCCCCCCGGTCAGGCGGCGGCGCATTTGTCGCGTGCACCCCCGAGCGCCTGTACGTCCGCAGCGGCCCCCATGTGGCCAGCGAGGCCGTCGCCGGCACGCGGCCGCGCGGCGCGCCGGGCGACGTCGAGGCGGACTTCTACCTCGGACTGGATCTCCTGAAGTCGCCCAAGGATCACGCGGAGTTCACGATGACGCGCGACTGGATTCGCGCGCAGCTGTCGTCGCTGCCGGGTGCGCGCTGATTGCGTGTGCGAGCGCCCGGGCCCGCGGGGGTGTGGCCTGTCCCGCCTGGCCGCCGCGGCCCGCCTCCCTGACGAGACAGCCCCGGCCTGGTTTCGCCCGCCGGATGCAGCCCCCACGTCCCCCCCTCCTCACCGCGGCCGACCTGAGTCGGGCGCCTTCTAACGTGCCGGCCCGCCTCTCTGTTCCCTCCGAATCCGGCTGCATGACACCCCCAGGCGCTGAGGTGGACATCGAGGTGTCCAAGAGCGTCCTGAAGCTGGCCACTGTCCAGCACCTCTACGGCCGCATCGCCGCCACCCTGCCGCCCACCCCTGGCGTCGGCGCGCGCGGCGCCGACATCTCCCTGCTCGCGGCGCTGCACCCGACGCCCGCCGTCTGCGGGCGCCCGCAGGGCGCCGCGCGCGCGTGGCTCGCGGAGCGGGAGGGGTTTGACCGCGGCTTCTACGCGGGGCCGTTTGGGTGGGTCACGGGGCAGGGCGCGGAGTTCGTGGTGGCGATCCGCTCGGCGCTGCTGCCAGAGGGCGGCGACGGCGGCGGCGGCGGCGGCGCCTGGCGCGGCGCGGCGGGTGCGGCTGATTCAGTGGACGCAGCGCAGGTGGGCGGCTTTCGGCGGCGCCGCGAGCGGCGTGAGCCAAAGCGCGTGCTTGCGCTGCTGGTTTTTCGCTTGTAGGAGGAGTGTCTGTGGCTAGTGATGCTAATCACAGCTTTGATAGTAGATTCGGCAGCCTGGCTGTGCCTGGCGATGACATCACCATTTGGGAACTGAAGCCACTGCGTGCTCTATGTGTACGTGTGTGTGCGTGTGTGTGCGTCTGTGTGTGCGTCTGTGTGTGAGTGAGTGTGTGTTTTTGTGTGTGGGGGGGTGTACATGCATGTGAGCAGGTGGAGGGTGGGTGGTGTGGTTGGGTGCGTGTGGTGGTGGTCTGCACGTGCGTGGCGTCGGTTTGGTCAGTCGTCCTGGCGTGCCACAGCCACCCCCGCGTCCTCCAGGCTAGTGATGCCAACACAGCTTTGATAGTAGATTCGGCAGCCGGGGCTCGCCCCGGCGATGACATCACCCTTTGGGAACTGAAGCCTTGGGAAGGAGGGCAAAACCGCGCGCACACACACTGCATGCCTCCCCGCCGCCCTCCGACCCAGCCTGTGCCGAAAGCTCCCCCGACGCCCGCCCCTCCACCCCTGCTCCGGATCCCCTGGACTTGCGACACCCCACAAAGCCCTCCCAGCAGCAGCAGCAGCAGCAGCAGCAGCAGCAGCAGCAGCAGCAGCAGCACTGCCTGCTGGCGTACGCAGGCGTCGGTGTCGTGTACGGCAGCGACCCCGAGGCTGAGTGGCAAGAGCTCTGCCTCAAGGCCCGCCAATTTGAGACGCTGCTGGCCCCCCGCCCCGCGCTGGCGGCGCTGCCCAACGCCCAGCTGGCGTGGGCGGCGGCGCTGGTGGAGGAGTTGTGCAGGCTGGGGGTCAGCACGTTCTGCGTCGCGCCAGGTGGGCAGGCAGAGGCGGGCAGGGGCGGGGTCGCAAGCGCGGACGCGGGCGCGGGCGCGCTGGCCGTGCGCATGAGGGTGGCGGCGAATGGGGCGGTCAACAGTCGCACGAGGCTGCACCGTGTCGCTGCGGCAGCCCAGCACAGCACGCATGCCAACGCGGCGCCCTCAGATTGGCAAGGGTCTCTGTGTCCGCGCGCCCTCTTGACGCCGGCTCCCCCTCTCTCCCCCCCCTTCTCCGCAGGCTCCCGCTCGTCCCCGCTCGCGCTGGCCGCCGCGCGCCACCCCCGCGCGCAGCTCAACGTGTGCATCGACGAGCGCTCCCTCGCGTTCTGGGCGCTCGGCTTCGGCCGCGCGTCGGGCGGCCCCGCGGCCGTCGTCACCAGCAGCGGGACCGCGGTGGCCAACCTGCTGCCGGCGGTGGTGGAGGCGAGCCTGAGTGGCGTGCCGATGCTAATCCTTACGGCGGACCGCCCCTTTGAGCTGCGGGATACAGGCGCCAACCAAACCATCGACCAAGTGAGCGCACACGAACCAGTTGACCGAAGTAAACAACATGCAACTGCAACGAACATGGAGCTTCCGCCCTCCCCGGCTCGAACCGCGAGTCGCCCGCCTGCTGAATCTTCCAGCGTCAGGCATCACAGCAGTCGCCTCAGCGCGCGCGGTGCGCCTTGTGTCAGCCGCTGCAGTTGTTTGTTTTCAGCAAGTACCCACCAACGTTGACGGTCTTCTCACCTGCACCACAACACACCACATTCTTCAGGTTAAAATTTTTGGCGGCTACGTACGCTGGGCCCAGGACATTTCGCCCCCCTCCCCGGCCGTCCCCGGCCGCGCCATCATCACCACCGCCGACGCCGCCGTGCGCCACTGCCTCGGCCTCGGGGCCCCGCCGGGGCCGGTGCACCTAAACATGCAGTTCCGGGAGCCCCTCGCGCCCGCCCAGCTCCCGTGGGACGCCGCCGCCTTCACCGCCGGCCTGTCCGCGTGGCAGGCGCGCGACGCGCCCTTCACGCGCCCCGTCTCGGCCCGCGGCGCCGCCGACGGCGCGGGCACGGCCGCGGGCTCGCCGGCGGCGGCGAGCCACGAGCTGGCAGAGGCGTTGGAGCTGCTGTCGCGGGCCGAGAGGGGTCTGCTGGTTGTTGGAGAGCTGCAGGATCCAGAGGACGTGGCGGCGTGCGTGAGGCTAGGGCAGCTGCTGGGCTGGCCCGTCGCGGCCGACGTGCTGTCCGGCCTGCGCATCGGCGCCGTGGCGCAGCAGCAGCAGCAGCAGCAGCAGCAGCAGCAACAGCAGGCGGCCGGCGGTGACGTCAGCGGCGGCGGCGGCGGCGGCTTCTACCTGGTTTCCCATATGGACCATCTGCTGCTGGGCGGCCAGGAGTGGTGGGGGGCGGTGAAGCCGGACGTCGTGCTGCAGGTTGGGCCGCGGCTCACGTCCAAGCGGCTCAACCAGTTCCTGGTGAGAGGGGGATTCGCCGGGGGGCCGGGGCCGCGGGGCGCCGCGGTGGGAGGCGGGGTCAGGATTTGGGTGGAGCGCAGCAGCACCTTGTCCGCGGGCATTCGCCGGCCGCTGGCGGCTCGCCCCTCTCGGCCGCGCAGGAGCAGGAGCAGCCGCTACCCCTCTCAAATGTCGCCGCGACCCCTCTCCGCCCGTTGCCCGCGCACCCCGCCGACCGCGGCGGGCTCGCCGCGCCGCGCATCCGAACCCCTCCCTGTTCCCACCCCGCCCCCTGCACGCGCTCCCCTGCAGGAATGGTCGGCGCTGCCGGAGGCCCACCCAGGGGGTACATCTGCTGCGTGGGCCTACCTGGGGCCAGGCAGCGACAGGCACGACGCGGCGCACCTGGTGACTCACCGGATGGTGGCGACGCCGGCGCAGCTGTGCGGGATCCTGGAGGGACACCTGGAGGCGCGGCGGCGACAGCAGCAGCAGCAGCAGCAGCAGCAGCAGCAGCAGCAGCAGCAGCAGCAGCAGCAGCAGCAGGAGTTGGAGCAGCACCACGCGGAGAGGGACGAGAGGGAGGAAGGGGAGGGCGGCTGGGAGCGGCCGCCGGGCGCGACCATGTTCCCCGAGGCGAGCACGAGCGGCAGCGGCTCCGGCCCAGGGGCGCGGCGGCGGGGCGGGGCCCCCAAGCGCAACGGCGCGCCGCCGGTCGGGGCGCAGGAGGGGCGGCCGCGGCAACCTCCACAGCAGCAGAAGCAGCAGCAGCAGCAGCAGCAGCCCTACGCGCGCCTCCTGCTGCAGCTTGACGCGGCGGCCAGCGCCCAGATCGACGCGGCGCTGTCGCGCCTCGACAGGCTCAGCGAGATGCACGTTGCCCGCCAGCTGGCGGCGGCGCTGCCGGCGGGCCACGGCCTTTTTCTGGGGAACAGCATGCCGATCCGGGACATGGAGATGTACGGTGCCCCCCAGGCGCCCCCGCCGCCGGCTATGGCGACGCCCGAGGCGGCGGCCCCGCCGGCGGGTGCCGCGCGGGGCGGTGGCGCTGGTGGGGGCGCGCAGGGTGGCGGCACGGGCGCGGGGGAGCTTGAGGTGCGGCTCGGCGCAGGCGCGGAGGCCGCGGCCGCGGCGACCGCCGCCGCGGCCGCCGCCCCCCGCAGCAGCGGCACCCTCCTCG